TTTACATGCCTCCAGAGTTCATTATAACTTTTATTGTTTTGAAGTATTTTCCTACCAAAAAAAAAAAAAAAAAAATAGAAAAACTTATTGGGAATAATAATGTGAACAATTCTAGAAATGGATTGAAAACAGTAACCGACAAAATTGAAGAAAAAAGGAAAAAAGAAATTGTGTGGATGAGACATGTACGCAAGCTGCGAGAAACAGTAAACATCACATGGTCTGACAAACGTAGGCTCCTTAAAGTCAAACTAATTAAATTGACTTCTATATATATCTCCCCCAATGACAGAGTCAACAATTTATGAAAAATAAATAAATTTATTGAAGAAAAATGCTGAATAGTACAAAGGGTGAAGACAAATGGAGGTTGTATGCATATAGAATCAGAGAGATCATTATCTAAACACTATAAATTGTTACAAGAAATGAAAAACCCATGTAACATGCAAATGGTTTGATCATATTATAATCTAATTATTTACTGTTCAAAACCCTGAAATCCAACAATCCTTCTTCGCAGTTCCCCTTTATTTGGATTCATATATGTAATGAAAAGTGTACCTGCAGAGCCTCCAGATCATCAGAGTGCGTGGGGTCATAAATATATATTTACTTCTGATTTGGGGATCTACAACATGTCCACCACTGATCTCAGCTCGTCCCAATTGCTGTTGGTGAAGAAATCATTCACATCTAGCTGCTGATTTGTGGGGTACCCAATTGGTGGTGAAATGATGCCACTGGACACTGGAGATGGGTCCATGGAAGTGCTGCTGTATTGGTCATAATTGTTCCATTCTTGATGATTCGGGTAATTTGGAAGAAATGGCTTCTTCTCCGTTTGGATTATCGTGGATTCCCAGCTGAAATTCACTATCATTGGATCATTATTGCACATCTTCAATGTGTTCTTTTCACTCATGCTGTTCTTTGTTGTTCCATATCTTCTACAGCTCACATTCCTCTTGAAAATCCGGCACAATGTCCAAATTTCCTAACAATTTAACTTAATTTAAAGAAGGATCACGAGGAATATATCTCTCTCTACTAGTATGAGACATTTTGGGAAACTCTAAAACAAAGCCACGAGAGCTTATGCTCAAAGTAGACAATATAATATGATATTACTGTGAGAGTTGTGAGTGATTCCTAACGAGTAAAAAATGAATTTGTATAAGCATTAGAAAGGGTTTGTGTTGTTACCGCTTCTTCAGCAAAGTTCTTGGAGGTTGGATGGGGTTTGTGGGCGGTGGGAGTGGGCGGAGGGAGGCGGAACTCATGCATCATCCAATCAGTTTTGGTGCCTTTTCCAGCACTTCCACGATAGTAAACGAGTGTCTTCTTGAGGCCAATGCATTCATTTCCTTCCCCTCCGTTGGAATACACTGGCTTGTCTATGCCTGTGGCCTTCCAAAACCCTGACCCTGTTACCCTATTTGGCCTTATACTATTCTTGTACTTCCTCCCTCTCTTGCAATAAAAGTACCATTCTTTATCTCCCACGTTGCTGCTTGCATCTGCATGAAAACACCATAACTTTTTGTTTAAAAATATCAAAATTTGAAGGACTTTGTAGCATGGAATGATGCTTGATCTTACATGGAAGGTCCCATGGGTTGTGTTTGTAGATATCAATCTGTTTGATGAGTTCTAGGCTGATGGGTCTCTTCTCGACTTTCCGACGAAGATAAAAGCTCACGAGTTCTTCATCGGTGGGATGAAATCGGAACCCGGGGAGCGGGATTTGATCGTCCCCGTCTCCGTCTCCATTGCCAACTTCTGGAGTTTCTTCCATGGTTGGTGGGTCTCTCTATGGAGAGAGATCAAAAGTTTTCAAGACATGAAGTTTGAAAAAGTTTGGCAGAGAGAACCCAAATTCTTCCCATGTTCTTATAATAATAATTGCAAGGAACAAGGACAAAATGGATTTTTATTAGGTCAAAGTCACACCCGTTGACTCTGTATCTCCGTGCGGACTCGACTATTTTGCTTGTACAAATGTTCGTTTTTTATTTTACTGCAATAATTGATATCTTATTCATCGAACAAGGTTGGAATAGTACAAATATGTTGGATGTTTTTGAGTTTAATTTTTTATATTGAATATTAACATAGAAAATTATGTTTTTCAACAGAATATTAAATGAGTGTTTTGCCAAGTTTCTCGAATTGACATTTTAGCCCACAATTTTTTCAAATTAGTTCAACAAGAATCTTCATGTTGAAGATTTCATTATCTACATTTATGAGCAATTTATTACCTATTTTTCTAAATGGTGGAAAATATATTTATGGTCCACAAAATTTGAAGCTTCTGTCCCTTTTTGTCTTACATATTGTTGTAAAATCAACACTTCAGCCTCCTGCCGTCAATATATGGACCGAAATCGTTTATCTACTCATCATAGATCATCTTCAAAATCGTTAATCCTTTTTAATCTTCAAAATTGTTGTAAAATTTTTAATCCTTTTGAAGCTTTGAATCACATCGCCAAAAAAAAGTTAATAAACCTTATTAACGAGACTTTCTTCTGAAGTTACCTACACAAAACTATTCTCCTTCGTAATCTTAATTATTATGAGTTTTTTATGGCCAAAAGCTATGTATAATTAATCATTTGCCATTGTGTACCTCTTTTGGATCATCGCCCTAATACCCCACATTTTTCTTTAAATCTTTTTAAAGTTTAGCTCAACTTCTTCCTCTCTCTTTCTTTCTCTCACGCGCACGCCACTACCTCTTGCCACCGCAACTGCCAAGATGCCCGGTACTCCACCCAGCTATCATGGTCCACAATTCGGTGCGTATGAAAGTGTGCATTAACCCAATGAAAAGAAAAGAACTGGACCATGAATCATGTAGCCTGCATTTGCATATTTGACTCCAAGGTGGAGTCTTTTACGAGGTATTTGTAACATTTTCAAATACATGCATATGCTCTCTCTGTAGGTGTTCTCGTGACTACACCTTTAATGTTCTTGTAGTAGCGACGCTAATCAACCTAGATCGGAACATGATGTGCTCATTAGGGTTTAAACGTAACATTGTTGATCGAGCCTACTTGAAGTGGTTAGAGTAGAAAAACATAATGAATCTTATTACGAAACTCAGGTAGGTTCATCTATGCTAGGTAGCTTCTTCGTCACGTCTCGGTACACTTGAACTTTACTAAATGTCCTCATAATTATAAAAATTATATTAACGCCCAAATGATATGATATGATATATTTTAAGGACAAAACAGAGAGGAGAGGATATGAAGAAATAAAAGGGAAAGGAGGAAAAATGGAGCGTCTTAATTAATGCAATAAAAAAGGGTCGCTCTCAATATTGAAAAAATAAAAAGGACCGAGAGCCACACAACCGTACAAATCTAATATTTCTTTCTTTCTTTTCCAAATCAAGACATTATTGTAGACAAAATTATTGACATGTCACTTTATTCACGTAATTTCGTGGAAGGCGCATCCAAGAAACCCGAAACACCGAGAGCTTTCAACTTTGGAGGAGGAGGTCGGAATACTTTAACCGTTACATTCATACTAACAAATCTCTCTCCTAATCTATTGCTTATACTTTTCTTTCTATATATTATGGTTATGCCATGTTGTTATGTATGCTATATGTCAAGTCGTGATCGCACCTCGGTCTAACTAGCATGTTATTATCGATATTTGAATATTGGTATTAACGATAAAGACTATATAAAAACAAAAGGAAAATTCACGTATAACCCAAAAAAGTATAGCTATCGATTTATAATAAATATTTTGAGAGTCTTTATTCTCTAAAAAAAAATAAAATAAAATAAAATAAAATCATTTTAAAAGGATGTGGTCAAGGATAATAAATAATAATAATAATAGTAATATTTAAGCTATATATTAAAAATGGAGTTTGATTTTAATGAAATACATAGGGTGGGCCAGGTGTCCTACGCCTAAACGAAGAGAGAAAAGTGTAGACTTGGGACATTGAGACATGACAAAAACCTACTCCCATTAATTGGGAGGAGAAAAATTAAGAACCATATATTTATATTTTTTATTTTTGCAGTAAAAAGTTGATAAATAAATTTTAATGTTGAATCCTTTTAAATCATGAGCATATGAACACATTGACAAATGTTTTATTCCATTTATTTTGCTTATTATTATTTATTGTGAAATTATTTTTATTTTTATATTTATATTTGCAGTCATATTTAAAATGTTGGGGAGTTAATTTTGTATTGAAATTAAGTATTTTTAATTTCACCCTTATCATTGAAAAGTAGATAATGACGTGTCAATTTCCAGAAAAGTCCGCCAAAAACACCCCCTTCTTATCTCATCAAAAAAACAATATAAAATTTTGGATATTCACTCAATTTTCATTCAACTCTAAATATAATGAATTATTTTTATAAAAAAAGCGTAAAAAAGATTAATGTTTTTTACTTGTTTAGTTAATTAGATATTGAATATTGGGCTTCGGAAGGCCCATATTCGCTATTGGGCTTTTGCATTGGACTTCGTGTTGGTAACGGGCCACCCCATCTGTTTTTTTCTTTGTTTAGGGTTTATTTAGCTTTCGTGTTTTGAAATATGTATGTCATGGAAAGGTTTCCATACCCAATGTTTTCTTCAACGGATGAGAGATCTCACAATCATGGCCATCACCAAGCCACCCCAAAAAACACCAAAACACTTCACTCTTCTTTTCTCCATTACAAAACTATATTTTCCACTACTTTCACATTTTATTTTATTAATCACTGCGTGTTTTCTCCATTAATAATACTTATTTGTCTTTTTGAGTTTGAAGGGATTCAAATTAATAATGGAGGAGGATCCAACTCATCCTCAAATAATTAATTGGGATAATTCATAGTCTTCCATGGTGGGCCCTCTACAAAGATTTTGGTATCACTTCTACTCTATTTTGTTTACTTTCTTCTTCTAATACTCAGAAGTAGTGACATTCTTGAATTGGGTTCACAATCATATAATGATGCATGGGAGCTGCAACGCCTTGCGCTGCGTGCAAGCTTCTGCGGCGGCGGTGTGCTCAACACTGCGTTTTTGCTCCTTATTTCCCTGCCCATCACCCCCATAAATGCTCCAGTGTTCACGAGGTGTTTGGAGCTAGTAATGTCAGCAAATTGTTGCAGGTTCCACCCCATTTCTCTTCCTCATTTCATTCATTAGAGAAATTACGATGAATAATTGAACTGTAAACGCAGGAGTTGGGAGAGCATCAACGGAGCGATGCTGTGAGTTGGATGGTGTATGAGGCTAATGCAAGGATTCGAGATCAGGTTAACGGGTGCGTGGGAACGATAGCGTGTCTGCAGCGGCAAGTGGATGCGTTGCAACAGAAATTGGCCATCACACAAGCCCAGCTACTTCAATTGAAAATGGCCCAATTTTCTTCAGCAAAATCATCATCCGTAGGTAACCTCCTTCTTCCTCCTCTACCCAATATCAATATCAATGTGGGCGCATCCCCATCCTTATGGTCTTGCTAGCTTTGCTTTGTTTTGGTCCATTTTTCATTATCCCTCTTACTTTTTGTTGTAGTTTTTAGATTATGAAAATTCCACGTCTAATTGATCTAATTTGGGTCGTTTTCTTTTGGGAATATCAGATATATGTACGTGCATCATTCATCATATTAACACATCTTCTAGCTCTTCTACATCTACACTCGTGATTACCATTTTTTTCCCAAACTCTGGTTCTTTTTGTTGCTGTTTATTGCATTATTTTCTACGTTGGGAGGAGAATGAAATTTTAAATTTTTTTTAAGGAGAAGCCCGAAATAATCATTGATGTCCAAACAAAAGATTGGATGTGTTCATCTGAAGCTTGATAAAAATGGATAGTCGCTAGTACATATTGCTCTCTTTGGTCAGTTACGTATCGCCGTCATGCTTCGTTTCTTTTCAACCGATGTGGGATCTCACAATCCACTCTCATTGAGGGCTTAGAGTCCTCGTTGGCATATCACTCGGTGTCTGGCTCTGATACCATTCGTAATCGTCAAAGTCCACTATTAATAGATATTGTCTGTTTTGGCCCATTACATATGTCATCAGCCTCATAGTTTTAAAACGCATCTGTTAAAGAGAAGTTTCCACACTGTTATATGGAAAAGGAATAGGAATGCTTTCGATCACCTCAAGACGTGGGATCTCGAAAAATCATGTATAAGGCACTAAGGTTATTTTCATAAAACTAATCAAACACAAAACCATTTGGGGCCCAACCTCATATGCAACAGTGTGTTGATGCTGGTGCTGAATATAAATACAATTTAGTAGTAATAATGAGATCGCTACAGTGGGTGTATGTGGGTGGTGAGAGTGTCAACTTGTTTAGAATGTATATGTATGGGCCTAACAGCACTGGAGGGGAGAGGGGACTGACCTTTCAACAGTATTTGCTTTCAGATTTTGTTTTAGGTCAGAGATGATGATAGGTAGGGTATCAAACATAAACCCCATTATTCCCCCCCACACACCACCAACCCTTATAACCCATCACCCCTTTCTCTGCCTCTCAACCTGTCAAACTACCACTCCCTCTTTCACATCGTTCTCAAATAGACTTTCTAAATGCTTAAAAACGCTTTACGATGTATTCAAAACAAGAACTTCCAATTGAGTTCTCCTAGTCTCTCAGTGCTTTCTTACGACTAAAAGAATGGGTACGGGGTGACACCCATTTGTACCTTACCACTGAGCTATGTTCAAATTGTTCCAAGAGGAAGAGTACAAAAATGAGAATAATAATTTAGCGATGACCATGAAGAAACCAATAGCATCCGATCCCATCAACTACAAACGACAGCCACCTTTTTAAACCATATATTCCCAATCGCTCACTGTTTGATTGAATCATTGGATCAAAGTACACCACAAACTGCTCAACCAAAAGGAATCACATTTTGAGATCTCATTAATTTAAACTAATTAAACATATAATCACATTCCTTCTGTTGGTCTCCTATGTTTCAAAATTCTAGGACGATATACTCCAATTAATTAATCTAATTTCCTGGCTTTGCTGACCCTTTTGATCTTCTCATCAATTCCATCTCTTCAGCTACTCATATATGGTAAATACATCAGGCTCCTCATTTCTTGTTCCCATTCCTCCTCATCCTTTTTCAACTGCAAAAATGATGAATATTTTATCATAATGAATGTGCGGTTTTCGTGTTGGATTTGACCCACGATCGAAATATGTCGAAACAGGTAAAAGAAGCAAGAAAAAAACTTGAGGAGGGAGCTTTTGGAACAAAGAATCCTTAACCAAGTAGCTTTTCAAATCTTTTTTTTATACCTGGACACCCAACTCATGGTTGTATACTAATTCATTGTCCATGTGAAGAATACAGGTATCATTCTTTGCTGGATTAGGTTCTTGATCACATGCTTCGTTGTTCCTTGCAAATCTCCCTCGGACTCGGATCCTTCTGTCAGCTAACGTTTTCCGACATGCATACTGTTTTATATAAACGGATGATTAATTATATCAATATTGTTGAGAATTATTGGGAGAGGAGTCCCACATCAACTATCCATGAGGTTGATCATAGGTTTATAAGTGAAAAATAGATCTCCATTGATACGATACCTTTTGTGGAAACATGACAGATTATGTTCAAAGTTACCTTTATGGTTTTGGTGAAATTTCTTTGGTTTCTCTTCTTCAAGTAGCGCAGAATCCTTTCTTTTCTTACTTCTTCAGAGTAGCGGCCAACCTTGATGTTTGAGTCCTCAGCCACAGGAACTTCATTGCTTTGGATTTCCTATATGATTAAGTTCATCCATATCCATGGATATAAATAAATATCACATTATAAAATCAAAATTTTAAATTTTCTCTTTAATCTGTATCCTTCAAAAGAAAGAGATGGGTGGACATACCCAATTATGGGGAGGGAGTGGTTGGTAAAGTGGCTTGATCTCAGGCACCAATCCAAAGCAATCGTCCTGAAATTCATGGAAATGATGATCAAGGCAAGAGTTTTGACATCCTCCATTAATGGAGGGGATATTAAGTTGAGGAAAGGAGGTGGGATCAATGGCGGAGGACAAGGGTGGCGATGGTTTATCATCACAACAATATTGGGCTGATGGGGATAGAGAAGGAGGGTGAAGAAGGCCAAACTCGTGGAACAAAGGAACTAAGGTTTCTTCGCCCCAGAATGGGCCGCCGGGAGTGCCCGCAGTCGACGGCGTTGTAGGAGGAGGCAGATCATAGAGATCATTAGGAAACATTGCTGCGCCCGTTGGTGTATAGTCAGGGTAGAATTGAGGAATGGAAGCCATATGGGTTTTGATTTGGTTGAAAAAAATGGGGAAGAAAAGTGGGGTTTTGTGGCTTGGATTTTTGCTTTTACATGTGGATATGTGGGTATATGTATATATATTATGCGTGTGTGGGGCAGTGGAATCAGGTTTAAACAAGTTGTTGATGGGTGGGGCGGCCAGGGCAGCTAGCCGGAGGTGTACTACTGGGTTGTTGGTCAATACCAACATAATTAGCTTCCGGACACCCTCCAAAACCTCACTAAAAAACTAACTAAACTGTCACTCTGTTTTTTTCTTTTACTTTCTGTTTTTCTCTTCTTTCTTAAACGGTAAACGCTTAAGCATGTGTGGTTTGGTGATTATGCCCACTCACATTACTCTCTTACCCATTGAACTGAAGTACACAATCCAAGTTCATTACTAGCCGATGTTGTTCTCATACAAGTTTTAAAATGCAGATGTTAGGGAGAGGTTTTCACACACACCCTCATAAAAAATGTATCGTTCTCCTCTCCCGCTGATATGGGTCTCAAATCTACTCCTTTTTAGGGCCCAACGACCTCGTTGACACTCGTTCCTCTTTTCATTCGATGTGGGATCTCACAGAAAAATTTAAGTCAGGATCGTGTGTGACATTGGATGTATTACATATGATTATTTTTAAAATAACAAGGGTGAGAAAGGTTGAAAAATGGAAGCTTGTGTGAGAGAGAAAGAATGGAGGAATCTATGCTCACATGGGCCTCAAAGATTTGGCATCAACATGTGAAGTACAACATATATACTCTCGAGCTCCTAATTAGGGTTCGTATAGATAATTAAGGTTTTGTTGGATAACAATTTCATTTTTTTATTTTTGAAATCTATGCTTGTGACCTCTTTAATGGCGTGAGGATGATTTTCATATTTTTCATATTTTTTTAACGAAACGTTTGAATCATTAGCCAAATTTCAAGAACAAGATCAAGTTTTTAAAAACTACTATTCAGAAATGTGGGAGATTTTTGGGCAGCTGTTTTGTTATCTTATAAAGTGATTCCCATGCTTTGAATTCTTTTCCTGTCGGCTGCCTATAAAGTATAGTTTGAGGGATGCCTTTTGTGACAAAAAAAAAATACGAGAGTGAGCAGAAGATTTGTAGGGCTGAAGTTGGCATCAGGTACCCATCGTCGATTTAATACCCTAAGAACTGTCTGCATGTGGGCCTTATCATCGTTAATACCCTAAGAACTGTCTGCATGTGGGCCTTGCTACGCTCCCCACTTGCATGGCCTCTCCTCAAAACTAGATAGCTTTGCCCATCTCCTTTGACTAAAGGTACGAATCCAAGACTCAATGATCAATATGGTCATCAATTACTGCTTTGGTTATCAACATGATATAATGCAAGTGAAAAAAATGGAGGCTTTGTATCCAAAAACCAGGGACAAGGGCAGAATGTGGGTGAGATGGAGGAGTAATTAACGGTGGATATTGGGTGGGAATGAATGTAATATACATATATTTTAGAGCATAAGATGAAAAGATAGCATTTTTGTTGTTGTTGGCCACTAGTTTGAGCATGCAAATATGCTCTTGGGTTTGTGTGGAGGTGTAGGGACGGGGTTTGGTCCTTTGGAAATTCCTTGTTTTTTTGAAGGACATTTTATGTTCACACTCTAAACATGCTTCTTTCCAATTTTTACAAAATAATGGAAATGATACATTTGGTGGGTCCTATGTGACAACAATGTTACTATGTATGTCTCCCTTTCATCTACTTTTCACAATTGTGACATTTATTCCCCAAATATATCTATAACTTTATTAAAGTTTTTAATATTAATTTAGATAAGACGAGGTGAGTAGCAAAATAATAAAAATTACCCGTCGATGTGGTGTTAGTCATACATAATTCAATGTTTTTAAGTTATCGTGAGATTCTACATCAATTGAAGAGATGAACGAGTACCAGTGAAGACACTGAGTCTCGAAGTGGGGTGAATTGTGAGTTCCTACATTAATTGGAGGGAGGAACGAGTGTTAGTGATGATGCTGGGTCTCGAAGGGAGGAACGTGTGCCATAGTTTCAGCAAATATGAGTGATATATTAAGTCCAACTTAACTCAAAAGGGTTAGGTTTCAACAAATATGGTATATATATATTTTAAAAATGGACTGATCATAGAAACTAAAATTCAAGGGCAGGCCCGGATCATAACTAGACTAAGGGCCCAGAGACTGGAGTATTTGAGCGGCCCAATAGTCCAAAATCTTAGGCCCATGACTTAGAAACGGGCCAAGCCCCACAATGATTTGCCAAAACACGTGGCTTGAGATTATTGATATGATCCTTATGATACATCTGCCCCTATAGGATATACTTGAGAATACGGCCATGGCATTTCGATCTCAGTTGCTTGTGCCGGCCACCCGAGACCGCCGCCTTTTCTCACCGTTTCTCTCTTTGATATCTCTTCTTTTTCCGACAGCTCCAACTTCTAGGGAGTTCAGTTGGCTTCGAGTTTGAGCTTTGAACTCAAAGCATCAAACAAGTAGCTCAACGAACAGCCGCATGTAATTGCCACAAAGCGCACAGCAGTTTGCGGAGAAAGAAGACAGAGAGCGGAAGCAATGTCCGTACTTATTGTAACCAGTCTGGGAGACATTGTGATCGACCTACGCACCGACATGTGCCCCTTGACCTCCAAGAATTTCTTGAAGCTCTGTAAGTGAGTCAGTTCTTCCATTTTCTCTGTTCTAACTATTAGTTTTGCTGCCTGAATTTGGTTCAGAGTGCGCGTATCGTCTTTTTTTCTAACTCTTTCCTTAATCCGCTTTCATCCACGAGCAGCAATAGTTTTCGTAATTCAGGCTCTGAAATTTTCTATTTACCGGGCGGAAATGTTCATTTTCGCGGCTAATTTGTTTACTTGATGTGAAGAATTCAGCTTGATAGTTTCCATGTCCTAGTTTTAATTCCATATCATTTTTCACCTGGCTGATGCAGAATTAAATTCTACAACACATTATACAGAAGGACTTAACTGCTCAGACTGGTGACCCCACTGACTTTTCCATCCAATGACAATCAAGTGCCCAACTTGTCTTTCTTGTTCAAGTTTATTTCCATAATTCTTAAATCTAACTTATTTTATTGTAATTACCATTGTATATGCGAAGTAGGCTGTGAAAACTTCATTTCCAGCATGGTTTGGTGTTCATTCTTCAATCTTAATTAAAAACTTCAGCTGATTCAATCTTATCTTGTCGTGCAATCTAATTAAATCTCGCTTAGGAATTGGATTTAATTTTGATTTGATTTAGTTTAGATTTGATTTAATTTTTTATTTGTTTATGGTTGTTACAAGATTTTCTGCTTAGGTAGATTTTCTAAATATCTTTTTGTATTATCTCTATATGTATAGAGCATACTCTTCATAATATAATCTTCTCATCAACTATTCAATCACTCACTCTTTCACTAAATAAGACTAAAGAGGCATGTGAACAAGCATATTTTAAGGTGTGTTAAAAAAATGAACTGTTGTTGGCCAGTTCCCCCACTGCCATTGTTGAAAAGACATGTCTTATAATCTTTTCTTGTTTATGGAAGATGGACAATGCTCTGATTGATGATAATAGGTAAATGGTAGAAGGAGAAGTACAGATGATATGGACAAAGAAATTTGGACGGTAAAAAGCAGAAATGAAAGATAGGGGATGAGCTATTTAGATTGAAAGAGTTGTAGATGACTGTTAAACTAACTCCAGTAGATGGAATGTCACATGGGCTGAAGTCACTTCATGGTGGCCTTCTATGGTACAATGCTACACATAGGAATGCTGCCTTCATTGGTGGTGGTACAGGGAGAAGCTACAAAACACTCTAAATAAATAGGTAATCAATTTTAGAAGTTTCAAATCATAAACTAAAAAATTACGAACATCACCACTGTAGGAGTCATCAGAAAAATACAGCCATTTAGGCTAGAGCTAGAATCCATGATTGGTCCATTTCAAACAGTTGTTAAATATCTGAAAAAGGTTGTTCAGCATTCCGATTTGTATAAATGATGAATGAAGAAGAAACTTTTCTCTTACGGGTTTATAAAGAGCATCATATTAGATTTCCAATTTAGTCGTAGGAAAAAGATTGTGTTGTGTTTATGGGTGAAAGCCAGGCTAAGCCTAATGCGTGTTTGTTGCTTTGTTATTCCGTTTCCAATTGTGTAGTCATGTCTTTAGTGTCTTTATATTATATTTTTCTTCTTAGACTATGAAATTTCGGATTGAAGAGAAGAATGAGTGCTAGTGAGGACAAATGGGCTTCGAAGGGGATGGATTGTGATATTCCATATTGGTTGAAGAGGGGAACGAAACATTGTTTATGAGGGTGTGGAAACCTCTCTCTCGCAGATGCGTTTTAAAATTTTTAAGAAACCAGAAAGGGAAAACCCAAGAAAGACAATATCTACTAGTGGTGGGTTTGAGTTGTTACACACCAGGAAGAACATGTAATTAAATAAGACTGATCTTATTTCGTTTTGTTTCCACCACTTACATATTAGGATGAAGTTTATGTACTAATCAAAGTCAACGGTTACACGATTTACAGCCTGAGAGCGTTCTTTGTAACCCATCCTTTCGTTGACAACCTTGGTAGCTTTTTTGCTTTTCAAGTAGGTTATCACATCTTACGTCATATAAAAGTGCCTCACTCGTCGAATGTTCAGCTTCATCACTACTTACCGTTCATCAATTGAAGCATTATTGTTCGAATCAGGAGGCCATCTTCATCATCACCTTAAATTGATCATCTTTGGCAGAGGAAGCCAAAATTTGTCATGCTTGCTCTAGCACCCGACAAAGATCGTGGCGAACCTGACCTTATCGGTGTTTTCAGAATGTGCTTTTTCGACCTCAAAGCTGGCATGCTTGCCTCAATGTTAGAGAGGAAACAATGCAGGCAGTGCAAGACTTGTCCTTGGTACGTACGCGCCTCTGTATTCTTCTTACTGTACCATTCATCAAGTAAAATGTGTTGAGTCTGCTAGAACATGAAGCATTGTCATACATAAATGGAATGTGTAATTTCTATCCATGGTTTATTTTTCTAGTATTTACCACACCCAAACACCATAAATTTGAAAATACTTCTGAACTTACATATAATTGAGATGAAGACATCCAATATATAAGTTCATGTCCTTGTCTAATCTAGATTCTACCTTTTCAAATATTTTAGTTTCACCCAACTTGCTACCATTTTAAATGGTTGAACTGTCACATTAAAGTTGGTGAATTGAGCTTTCTCCTGCCAACTCTTTGATTGATTAGTATTAATGTTTTCCCCCTCCCTGCATTTGAAAAAAGCATGCCTGTTATATCATATAGTTTATTACTTGAACCTAAAAGTCTCATAAGTTGGGTTGATTATCATTAAGCCTGCATTCACACAATAAAATTATGATTAACCCAAAGATTATTTCCTCAGGTACTTAATTATCATTGAATCAGGGCTGAACTCATAAATATTTTGTAAGAAAAATGATGTTTTGACAGGTGGCCGAAGTATATACACGACAGCTCTCCAAACAGTTAGATGATACACGAAGAACATGTATATGAGAAACGTGTGTGTACTTGTCGACTTCTCATTTAAGACCAATTTCACCAACTGCTACCTGCTGCCTATATTGAGTTGTGAACAGAAATAACTCCACCAATAATTGCATCAACCCTCTTGGCTTTGGCTTTGGCATATATATGTTGAACATTGTTTGTGTGGCAGTCTTAAAGCTTTTTCCATATTTAACAAAGTTTGAAACAGAAGGGTCGAAGAGAAGAAAAAGGCAGCTAAGGGCCATGCAGTTGTTGTCATTGGTTGCATATTACATATTTTTCAATGCTTCGAAGGTTGCTTATTTTGTATTCTTGGTGCTCCTTGTAGCTTTTAATCTCATCATACTCGCGGATAATATGCGACATTTGGAGACACTTGGAGCTCTGATTTGCAAGGATGAGGTTCAAAATTGTGTGTTTTTCCGGTTTGAAGCCTCTCACGATCAATCTCTTCACTACTACAGCCTCAACTACAATGCTTCTGTTTGTTAGATTCTCTTGCAAATACATATACAGTCGACCAAAGTTGTTTTAGTGTCCTTTTTTTTTGTTGGAATTTTCTCCTTTTGAGTGGCATGATTGGATTGTACATTACTGTTTACATAAGATGGATATGAGTACAGCAAGGTGTTTTCTGGTTGTTCTTGATTATGGACTGTGCTTCCACCCTAGGTGGGAGGGAATATTTACTGGCGGTGGATTTGATCTGAGAGCGAGATACACAAGTTAATTCAAATATCACTGTTAAAATTTTCACGTCCATAGATGGGTAGAGGATTTGGAGTGTTTCTGGAGTAGGACTCTCACACTAGATAGTTAAAGTTACCCATGAAAAGATCAAAATGAATGAAAAGAATAGGGTGAATGATAATAAATGGTCCGTACCAAAAGTCATTAATATATACGCATATATTTCTCTCTCTTGCTTTAGGTGAGGCCTATTACTTGCTACTGCAACCATGGAGCAACCCTATTCCTCAAGCATTTTTAATCAACGAACTTAAATTATTTTGTTTTTTTGTCCTAATGGGTTGATTTCTATTAATAAAGAATCTTGGCAACACATTTATGGATAGGATTTATTAATTTAGTTACTATCTTAATTGGGTGTTAAACCAAACAAATCTTCTTAAATCCAACTTAGATAGTTGGGTTTGATTTGATATCTTAAAGTCAGAGATATTTATAAATTAAATTAAAAGAATCATAATATGATCTAATCAAATCAAATACTCGATGATCAGTCTTCCAAAAGCCATTGCGCCTCTCTGCTCTGCTACCATACTTCTTCTTAACACTAATTTGCCTCTCCTCCTTTCTTCTTCTTCTTCTTCTTCATTCACCGTCCAATGCTGCCGATCATCCGCCGAAGGCCTCCTGCATGTTCGACGCTATCTACCAACTGGGCGGCTCTGTTTCAGACACCGGAAACCTCATCCGAGAAAATCCGGCCACCCCTTTTTCCCGTCTCCCTTACGGGGAATCCTTCTTCAAAAACCCCACTGGCCGCTGTTCTAATGGCTTGCTAATCATCGATCAATTTGGTACCCAACTTTAAACCCTTCCTCTCTGCTTTACATGGGGTTTTAAGCTAATTTCGTTTACTTACAGCTATTGCCGCTGGACTTCCTTTGATAAACCCTTATTTGGACAAGGATGCACCAATGACTCACGGGGTGAATTTCGCAGTGGCCGGCTCTACGGCTTTGCCTTCGGAAGTTCTTGCTCAAAAGAGAATCTCTTCTCGCGTCACCAACTCCTCTTTGTCTAAACAGCTTGATTGGATGTCTACTCATTTCAACATTACTTGTCTCTTTAAAGAGAACGGTATTTATATAGACTTCCTCTTTCTCATTACTTTCAAACTCTCTGAATTACTTTACTTATTGCGATCTCTGTTTTACAGATTGTACCAAGAAATTGAAGAATGCTTTGTTCTTTGTTGGTGAGATTGGAGGGAATGATTACAACTATGCGCTATTCCAAGGCAAGACTATAGAAGAAGTTAGAAATTTGGTTCCTGAAGTTGTTCAAATTATAAAGGAGGCAGTCGAGGTATGTGGTTTGATTCATTTCTTTTAACCTTTCTATTAGTGTAGGAATCACTGATTTCTGTATGTAATGGTATGATATTGCCTATTTAGATCATAAATTCTAATGACTTGATTATTGCCTGCTTAGAATTCTAATGACTTTGTTTTGGTTTTGGTTTCCTGGATAGGTCTCGTAACCATGGATAGTATTCCTTATTTATAAAAACCTATGATTTTCCCCTTAATTAGCCAATGTGGGACTACTCTCCCAACATTCTTCAATAAACCTCTCCTCGAACAAAGTACATCATTGAGTCTCCTTTGAGCCCTATGGAGTCCTCAAACCGCCACTCCCTTAATCGAAATCGACTCCTCCTCTAGAACTCTCGAACAAAGTACACCATATGTTCGACACTCGAGTCACTTTTGACTACATCTTTGAGGCTCATAACTTTTTTTTGTTGACACTTGAGAATTCTATTGACATGATTAAGTTAAAGACATGACCCAGATACTATATTAGGAATCACATATCTCCGTAATGGTATGATATTGTCCACCTTGAATATAACTTTGCTTTTGGTTTCTGAAAGAGGACTCATACTAATGAAAGATAATATTTCTTACTTATAAACCTATGATCGACTCCTCTCCCAACCATCCTGAACACTTTCTATCCATATCTCCTTTTCTTTTTGTTTGTAACTGCAGAGAGTCATAAATTACGGTGCTTTTCAAGTTATTGTGCCGGGAAACTTTCCAATAGGCTGCCTACCAATCTATCTCGCTGGATTTCAAACCAACGATGCCACTGCTTATGATGAGCTTCACTGTTTGAAGGATTTGAACAACTTAGCAATCTATCACAACACCCATCTGAATGATGCTATCAAATCCATGAGAAAAGAGAACCCAAATGTGAATATCGTGTATGGTGATTACTATAATGCACTCTTGTGGATTCTACGAGAAGCTTCCTCGCTCGGTAAGCCTCCTTTGTTGCACTATATGCTGCTGATGTTCTCTTCTCAAAACGTTTACTTATCTGATAGAATATATATTAACAGGCTTTGATGAAACGTCCCTGCATAAGCCTTGTTGTGGAATGGATGGTGATTATGAGTTCAACCTGATGCAAATGTGTGGAGCTCCTGGAGTGCCGGTTTGTGGTAATCCTGGAGAGTGAATCAGTTGGGATGGATTTCATTTGACGCAAAATGCTTACAGACTTATGACATATTGGCTCATTCTCAACATACTTCCTCGGCATTATTGCATACCTTAAATTTGTTTCATTACTTTAGCTTTGCTTTTTAATTCTTTTTTAGTTTGTAGGAGGGTTGTTTAGTGAGAGTGAGATGGACCCATATGGACCCATATTCAATTTATTTTATTACCCGTTGAGAGGGCTGCGTAGTGGAGCACGTGCCCATTGTTGAATGGAAAGGGCCATGGGGATTGGGGGGCTTCTAACCAAAACCGTACTTCAACGCAACGCTTTTCCAGATCCGACCGTTACAATTATTTGAAAAAAAAGAAATCAAAGAAGGGAGCCTCCGATCTCCTCTTCACTACATTCTTCTATCCTTCTCTTCTCTCTGTTTTGTGACTTTTAATTTCCATGGATGATAACAACAAAGCTTTATCAGTCATGGAACCGAAGCCTTCACACCCACTTCACCAAATTGCCGAAACCCCAACCCACAAACTTCTTCTCAAGCAGTGGCTCAAGGAAGAGGAACTAATCTTCGGAAGAATCTCTCTGAAAGAAACCCAAATCGACTCTGTGAGAAAAGAAATCACTATGCTTCACATTTTCTTCTTCATCTTCCACTCCACCGCCGTGCTCCTCCTCTTCAATGCCTCGACGAAGGATTTCCATGGAGTAGCCTGCAACAGATCCTGGATTCCGTCGCTTTGTTCTCTGTTGTTCTCTCTGGGTATCATTTGGGCCGTGAGATACAAGACCGATCTTGAGGCCCACTTGGATAAACTGCTGGAAAGGGAAAAAGAAGACAGGAATTTGCTGGGGAAGTGTGTTGATGAGTTGAAGAGGAAAGGGGTTGAGTTCGATTTGTTGAAGGAGGTGGATGCGCTGAGGAGGGCGAAAAGCCTGAGGGTTGAAGCCAAGGCTGTCAGAAAATGGTCTTCAAGGGATTTCATCACTCTGTTTTTCTTCTCTGTTTCCTGTATGTTTCTTGGGATTATTAGGGTTGTTCTGTGTAACTAGTAGAGGGGTTTTTTTTTACAAAATTGATGATTTTGATGATGCCATGGATTTCGATCTTGGTGGATCTTGTTTGTTTCACTGCAGATCACACTCTGTTCTGCACTATCTTGTTGCTTTGGTGGTATCATATGGATAACAATTTGAAGTTCTTTCCAAAAATGGTTCTTTTGTTATTATTACTTAGAGCATCTACCTGCTCAAACAGATATGTATGATAGACCACAACCACAATCAAAAGATACAATCATGGAATCCAAACTCCATGGGCAATCTATTTTGTGAACGGTACTTTTGAGTAATAAGCAATTTAACTTACAAACTCCAACACAGAAATCAATGAGATCATAAATAATTCACAAATGGGAGGTTCGAAACGACACAAATGTTGTATGAAATTAAATCACAATGTACAAAGCCGGAGGTGGGGGAACGTTGAGCAAATATGAAACTAAGCTTCTTTACCTACCTTCCCCTAATAATTCATGGAGCATTGGTTCAAAATCATTGGCTGGCGTATGCTTTGCACCAACAACACTCGAACTAGTCGATGCATAACGGCCAGTATCAGGTTCTTCAGTTGATGGATTATCTATAAAGCTTGTAATGTCATCAAATTTCCAATCAGTAAGGTAACCTGGTTTGGAAGTTACAGGAGTCACTTCGATGTCTCCGGTCAGCATTGCCACTACGCGGGACATTGACGGCCGAAGAGCTGGGGATGTTTGAGTGCACAGAAGAGATACACCAATCACCCTCTTTACTTCCTCCTTGCTGAACTCTAATAATTCAGGATCCACCATCTCAAGTTCACAGTTGTTTTCGTGGAGGTACCATGCCTACAAGCAAAACAGGAATTTATCACACAACTTCTAAGCGAAATTTAAATGGAAGCGATGAGGAAGCATCGCCTAATTGAAATGTCAATTTTCTATTGTATACCCTTCTTGGATTAAAACGGCCAAAAATATTATCTAATCACTTGGTGCCTCATAGACAGATTAACACTAATGTCTGAGTGATAATGTATATATTTCTGTCCTCTGTCATTGAGTTATGGGAGAAAATGCAAGGAAAGATATTATTGATTAGTTTTTATTGTTTTCTTATGCTCCTCTCATGTTTCAGCCAAACTGCTAAATTTAAATGATTGCTCGGGACTCTCCAGCAATTGTATGTTCAGATTACTATTGATTTAAGTTCAAGGGTAAAGTTAATAGAGAAGGATGAGAATAATATGGAGGTAATAGAGAAGGATCTGAAAAGGGCATGATTTCAAATAATAAGCTTGGGGAGGGTGCTTAGAAAGAGGAAGTATAAGTGGCATCTAAGTGAGAGAGAAGCTCTTTAATCCGTCGTTACATTTTATCTGAAAAATTCAAAACTTTTTCAGCCGTAAATCTTCTAGAGTGTGTTAGTTCATTTAATTTCACTGGAACGGGTTCGAAGATATTTGTTCTACTCCGGGGAGGGGGGTGATCCTAATGAACAAAACAGGAAAAACGAATAATTCTTACCCATTCGAGAAGATAAATTTTATCTTGCTCTAAGCTTGGGTCTGAATTTGGCCTTCCACTGACAATTTCAAGAGCCACAACGCCAAATCCAAACACATCAGCCTTCTCCGTAAGGTGGCCACGCATGGCATACTCAGGTGCAAGATAACCACTGCAACAGTAAGCTGGCCAACATTAGTACTTGTACCCAAAGAAAAAAAGCGAAAACACAATTACTGAATTAATCTTACATTGTCCCAGCGACACGGGTGCTTATATGAGTCTTTTTGTCATCATAAAGTTTGGCTAAGCCAAAATCTGAAATTTTGGGAATCAGATTACCGTCAAGCAGGATGTTACTGGCCTTAACATCTCTGTGCACTATGCGAAGTCTTGATTCCTCATGGAGGTAAGTGAGACCCCTTGCTACACCCACGCATATGTCAAAACGTGTTGGCCAATCAATAGTCAAATGTTTATTTCCTGCCACACAAAACCCATGGTTAAATACAACTATCTTTGCTTTCAACAGCCGGAAAATTGGATATAAATTCCTTACCAAATAATGCTTGGTCAAGACTCTTGTTTTCAAGAAACTCATAAACAAGGAGACGTTTGTCGGCCTCAATGCAGCATCCATATAATTTTACAAGATTACGATGTTGCACTGCGGATATTGTAGCAATCTCAGCGACAAACTGGCTCTTTCCTTGGTGGGATGCCACTGAAAGTTGCTTGACAGCAACCACTCTTCCATCGCTTAGTGTTCCCTGCAAGGATAAAAGAAATCAGATAGTAAGTAATAGCAGTACTTCAGAACGTAAAAATAGATATAATCTTCCCACTATCGTACAAACTTCGAAGCAAAAACAGTAATTGAAATTGGTAAAACTGTTATGATACGTCATATTCTCACATATAAGGTTGACTCAGTTTGAGATAAACTATCCTTTTCCCGCAATGGTTATAAGTTTACCAAGATCTACAACATTATCTTTTCTTTTTTTACACATACAATATTTCCGAAATTTATTGGGTAGTTTCAGATAATTGAATCAGATGTGAATAATACAACAGGAGACAACCATGATAATGACATTTTCCTAGCCCTATCCACTCCGCCATTTTAAAGAGAGACCATACCTTGTAAACAGGTCCAAATCCTCCCTCGCCAAGTTTGTTGGATGGATTAAAGTCGCTTGTAGCACCCCTTAGTTCAGAAAAACTAAAAGTGTACGGTCTAGCATCTATCCCAAGGAGCTCTGCAAAATAATAAAAATAAATAATTGGTATAGATGTGGATAGAAATTACAGTATGCCTCCTCCAAAGTAGATCCAAAATGGAAGAAAATACAGCAATAAGGGACCAATTTATGCAAGCATTTAATGTGGAATGCAACAGAATCAAGATGCAAACAACTACTTCGAAGCAGATTCCTTGTAATTACCTTCATCTTCATAGGCACGACGCCTTTTCCTTCTCTGGAGAACAAAGAAAACTGCGCCAATAATCAGAAAGAAAACAGATCCTAAACCAACAACGAGCCCTACAATTAGGCCCGTTCTATTATTCTCCTCAGTATTTGGAGGTACGTTGCTGACAGTTGGTTCAAAATCTGCAGAAAAGCTCACTAATTTCAGTACTTGAAAACAAGGACACAACAAAGAACAAAACTTGCCATTACTAATTACCTGGGGTAGCACTGATGGCTGAAACGGAGGGTCCAAAAGCACCCTGATTAGGTATGCAGCAAGTACCTTTGCCTGCCCAAAAGAGATGAATTTCCAGGAAGCTTTCTGTAACTTCAGCCGTAAAATTCTTTCTGACAGCAAGGAGAGACCCACCTGCCTCCTTTCTGATATCAAAGTTCTGAAAGACACGATTTCCCTGGAACCAATGATGATGAACTCAGACAAAGGAGCAGAGCAACAGATAATCGCGAAAATGAAGGCACGTCGGAAAATGAAAATCAGTTAGTGAAGGAATAACACAGGACCAAATGGAAATATAATATTAGAAAAATGAAATTTAAAATATAAGACGGATGACACTTGTTCTTACTGCATAAACAAAACTACAAGTGTTGCTAACACCCATCAACTAAGAAGCATAGACACGGATAGACACGGAAACGGCGACATGCCAATTTCTGAAAATGTAGGATAATATTTTTTATTATTTTTATTTTTAGAAGATACAAAAACAACAACCCAAAATGTACATAAAATTAATTAAAAAACAAAACGTGAATGAAAATTTAAATGTACATAAAATCCAGTAAGTCATCGAACCTACTTATAAACCCAATAAAGACAAAGACCAACATGCAACTAAGTGATTTCTCTCATTACAATTTTAGTCATTGAATTGGTCTGAGCTTCAAAATGCCATGCATCAAAATGCATGTACTAGATTCCTAAAATTTAACTCACTCAAGTTTACAAATATCTAATTCCTAAAATTTAACTCACTGAAGTTTACAAATATCTAATATCTGTAATTGAATGAAGTTTACAGATATCTAATATCCCTAAACTTTCAATTATGTGTTTAATAGATTCTTCACATATTTAACATTTTTTAAATCAATGAATCTATTTCACATAAAAGTGAATTTTGTGTAGGACAATAACATGGTGAATTTTAAAACATATTAAATAAAACAAGAACCTATTAGACACCATATTGAAAATGCAATAATCTATTAGACACAAAATTTAAAGTCTGGAGACCTATTAGATAGGTTATGAAAGTTAAAATATTATACATTTTTTTTAAAATTAGACAGAAACTTAAAATATTGTATCAAATTTCCAGGGCCAACCAACTTAAAAGCCCTTGTCATAACAGTGTCTGCAAAATATAGGCAAAGCTTCTAGAAAAATATTTTTTGCCCTCGCCTGGAACTATGGTAGAGGAAGACTCATAACATGATTATATAAATGAAGAATTAAAAAGAAACCTGGATATATATATCAAAGAGACGCCTCCCACGGCTTTGCCATGTATTTGAATCTGGGAAAGCTATTTCTGCAAAATGAAGGTTCACTGTGTAGTTGCCATTCTCAAGTCCCAGTCCATAGTATCTCAATGATGAAGCAGATAGACGCTGTGTCTGAAAAAGTTCTGTGTCAAGGGAGTTTGGGAATTGAGACAATGTCTTGCCTATGTATTCAGGATTGTTGGTCCCAGTGAAGTATCCAGTATTACTAACGGCCCATCTATTTGACTGGGTAACAAAGTATGTAGCAGGACCGAGAGTCTCATTTTCCCTTTCAAACAAAATCCCTGATGAACTTGTGATCTGTGGACCTCCACACTTGATCCCAAAATCAGAATCTGGCATCAACATACAAGACAGGAGATATGAATAAAAGATATCCACACGTAGGACGGTGCATCTTCTGATTTAACAATTGCCTTATTTCAAAAGTTAGAAGCCTGAGGTAGTTTTTCCTCTTCCTCAGAGAAACAAACAACAAATAGGAAGAATTTATTTTGTAATTTCTACTCACATCTTGGACGGTCTCGATTACAAGGAAAGTTGCGTTGAAGACAATTCAATCCAGAAGGCAAACCACTGAAAGCAAAAGAGAGATGTGTTAAACAGACCACCAACGAAAAATTTGTGAACGCAAGGATATTAAATGAACTCATGGA